ATCACTGGTGCACAGTGCCGCACCAGACGGGCACATTCCTCTGGGGTTTTTTCCAGCCCTGTCGCGGCAGTAGTGTGGAGCTGTGCATTTCTGCAGGGCAGGGGCTGGAGGCAAGGGCATGGCTCCGTGCTGCCCACAGGTCACCCTGCCACAAAGCCAGGAGTCTGAGTGTCCCAGCACGGCGGCCCCCTGCTCCCGGGATCCTGCTCCACAAGGTTGCTGTGTGGGCTGCAGAGCTCTTCTGCCAAGGAAGAGGGCTGGGAAGAGCTGACTTCAGCCGGAGGGACAGGTAGCAGGCAAGGCAGGCAGCAGAGGAACAAGTGAAGAGAGGCAGGAAGCTAGAAAGCTCTAGAGATGCAACAGCAACATCCAGCTGCCCTCTGCTGAAAGCCCAGAAAAGTCAAATCAAGGACAGCACTATCTCTGTGGAAAGAAGTCTCATGAGAGACCAGGCAACAAGCTTTGTCTACAATTCGCAACGCTGATTACTTGAAATAAAGGCTTGAAACTGGTCTGGCTTAGCAGAGTGTGAAACTCATATTTGACATCATCTTACAAACCTGGAAGTCTTTTTGCACAGTTCCTCTTTTGATTTCTGCCGCCAACAGTGAATCAGTTTTGTGGGGTGGTTTTGCACAGTGGAGCAATTTGGGAGGGGTGCCAAGCAGCCCCAAAATAGTGGGTGCTGACATAGAACAGCTCCTGCTAACCTCCTTGCCAGCGGGTCCTGCTGCAGACTGAGGCTGTCCGATACTTGTGACAGGAAAGGTGTGTGAACCTATATCCCCTTACAGCCCTACGGGGCTGATTCCCCCTTTCATTTCTGCTGTAGCCAATCCTGTGACAAATGCAGGTGTGCATTTTTTTACCTGGATGATGCTAAGATGTGTGTCTCATGTCTCAGGTCCCATTTTGTGTGCTCACTTTGGCAGAGAAGGGAGGAAAATCCTCTGCAAGAGGCACACAGTCAAGCCTGTCAGCGCACAGGGAGGCTCCCGCAAAGCTTCGGTTGTGTGTGGGTTGAGGAGTACAAGAGAAAAAAATAACTTCATCTGCAGAGAAACTCATCACCAGGCAAGAGGCTGTATTCTACCTGCAGTTACATTCATCTAAGCAAAGAGAAACTTCCCCTATTTCATAGTTACAGTCTTTAGCGTTTTTAACCTGAATGGTTCCTTTATCGGTTTCGCGGGTTTTTTTACAGCTAGATGTTATGGCTCAGCCCAAGGCATGGTGTCATACACATCCCATTCTAGCCATGAAAATAAGGTTAGTGGGCATTGCCAAAATCTGACTCCAAAGCCAGCTCAGGTTGGGTGACCGCTGCACTTGCGAGGCTCATCTTCTGTTGGTTTGGGTGGCTCCTGCTGTAGTACTTGCTGTAACATACAGCCCGACTTATGTGTTACAGCAATTTAAACATAAATCCGTCACAAGGGCACTCAGGCTTTGTGCTTGTCATCATCAGCAGTGCATTTCTTCCTTATGCACCGCTTTGCCTCCTGGGACAGACCGCAGCA